AGTTTCTGCCTCAAGACGGATATTGGAAATACGTTCCCCGATCGACTGCCACGATTTATTAATTAATTCATCCCCTTTTCCTGCAAAATCGACCAACCACGCCGGGTAAAAAGATTCCGACCATTCGCGAAACCGCCGTCGAAATGTCAAAATTAGTCGTATCGGTATCGTCGCGGCGGGTTCGCGAGATCCTTAATAACCTTCCCCCCCGGGGAATCGTTAAGGACTCGGGAAAACACGTCCGTGGATTACGCCATTGCGAGACACGGTCGAATTCTAATAGCTAAGTCAGGTACGCCGGATTACGCTAAACTATTACGAGCCTTCAAAGCGCGAGCCTCGTTGTGTATACAGGGTGTCCCGTATAGGCGGCCCGTGGAATCACGGCGAAATGACGTAAAGCTAGGAGGGGAGAGGAGAGGGCTGAAAAGCCGTACTCGCGGCAGCGTATGCAGATAATCGGTACAAAGCCTTTCGTCGAATGACAAAGGAGAGTACTGGCCAGCTTCGTGGTTCTCTTGCATCTATATGCCAACGCACGCACACACGCTCGCATTCAGCCGGTATTATTATACTGGGTGGCGACGTGTTACCAGGAAAGGTCCAGCTCCCACTGTTTCCTTTTATTCCTCGAAACAACGCGAAACTTGTCCAACGATCTCCATCGCGTCCTCGCGGACTGCGGGAATTACGATTACGAGGCTGCGTGCGCGCCTTATTTCGTCGAAGGAACAAGGAGAACTTTGGCAAGACGCTTTGGAATTGCTGGAACGGTAGAATTCCGTGTGGCTTTCCCGATCACGTCGACAGCGCGTCAGAAAGCAACATCTTACTTCGATAAAAGTCGCGGAAGTCTATTAATCACTGGAGCGCATTGTGACATTCAACCGAGCGGCATTCAGGGTTTCAATATTATCGATACTCAACAGCGGGGCCAGCATCCGCGTCTATTGAAAGAGAGTTTATCAATAGAGTGCAGGACACTCTTGCTGTATCCGTCTCTAAAGCGTTCTAAGCTCGGCGAGGTTCCTACGATCTTTCGATGATTGCCTTTGGGCAAAAATTTCCTATGCGCGGCAAACGTCCTCGCGATTTCCACGCGGATACCCTTCACTCGCTTCGTTCCTGATTAACGTATTCGAGATTGAAAAATTGGCTTAAGACCACGACGATTTTCGCGTTAGAGAGAAAAGCAAGTGCGAAAACCGACGGTATCTTGGGGCAGTTTGACCATCCGAGCACGTACGCGAAAGAAGAATCTTCGAAGAGTCGGAGGGATGAAAATAATCTGGGTTGGTATGGTTAAGGGGATCTTGGCGAAAGCCACAAGTGGTCTGGATAAATACTATTCTTCCTTATGTCAACTTCGATTAAGCTTATACGTCGGGAATAATTCGTATTAATGCTGACAAGCGGCTGAAGGGATATGGATGTTTACAGCTAAACACACTTATCGCTCTCTCCGTCGAAGATCAACGACGAATGATCTTTCTCGGTGGATTCAAGGAGGCTCGGAAGACTGTTATTAGACGTGGTCTGATCTTTAATGAAAGTTGGGTAGATGGGGAAATTCGCGTTGGATAGGACTCTGGTTCTCTGGTCGATGTAATTACCAGTGCTACTCTCGAGCTGGTCGAAGATATCGTATGCAGTGTAAGGCACGTCTCGGTGCATTGACGTTTGAAACGAATCCACCGTTAATCCGGCCAGCATACAAAAAGACACGAAAGCCCGTCGAATTCGCGGAATGTACGGTTTCCTGACCAACAGACGATTCTTTCCACGGTCCAGTTAGACGATACAGAATTAAGCTCGAAAAGTACTCGGCGAGTACCGGAACGGTGGAATACCGAGCCTATAGAGCTATAAACAGCGACAAAAGGATACCGAGTGGGCGACGAGCATTGAATGTACGAGAAAGGATTGTATGCCAGCGAACGATGCTGACGATGGTAGCGACGTTGCTGTTGCTTTTGGCATACGTATGTCACGTACGGTACGTCTGTCTGTGGCCTGCTTTTCGGTGTATCCGTGCTGGCGGCAGAAAAGAGGAGTATTTTAGCCCGCGTCCATATGAACGTAGGGACGAAACAATGTAGCTTTTGTGCGAGAAAGAAACGGAAAAGCCAAGCCAAAGAGAGAGCCTAAGAGCGATTGAAATGCTCGGCCGTCTATCTCTTGTTCTCCACGCTTTCCTCTTCATCCCTCCCCTTTTATCCATCCTCTTTTTCTTCCCCTCCGTCTTTGCGTTCCTGTCTTTTTAGCACTCAGCCATCTATGTTGCCTCTTCGTAGACTCGCTTCGTCTTTGCTTTGATCGCGAGACTGCTAAGCTGCAGTGATTCCAGATGCGTTCATCTTCTCGTCTCCCCGGATACCGATGATACCTTCACAGTTTCTTCGTCCTTTGCTAGAATCACCTACTAGACTATTATAGACCTTGACCTTTTAGATTTCGTGGCGAGTCTCGCGTACCGTGCCTATTCTATATATATATTCCGCTGCTATACGACAAGTAGACACGGAAAGATAAAATAAAATTGCGAGGTCTGTACACGTAGGAGTGGACTATACACGGAGAGGTACTTTTTCGGGCGAACCTCGAACAGAAACAGGATGACAGAATGAGAAAGTAATGACGCACGGGGCGGAGACGCGGTTAGCAATAGAAGGGTGGTATGTGCAAGAGGGGCAAGTATTGGTAGACACAGATGCGAGGGGTGGTTGCAGGTTGATAGTCAAGACTGCCTTCAGATTCCAGAGTGAAGCATTGTGTCCCGAACGCGCATTGTCCTCCCGTCACCGGGAACTCGACAATGCCGAGTCCGTAAGTTAGTAACCCTACCGTAAAAACTTATCTCCACCCCCGAACCATCGACCTCCAGCCTCCATGATTCCGTTCGATTTCCAACCTCCTCCCGCCAACTCTTCCGCTTTTCTGCCCTGCCTAGTGCCTTCCACTGCTTTCCCTTTACCCTCCGATTATACGAATCAACCATCCGGGGATCTCTCGTGTTCTTCTTCTTTCGCGGATAAGACGATCCGCGATACAGCTTTCGGCTTTTGGTTTACCTTCTCGCACGAAATCGTTACGCGCACGCTAACAGACCGCTGTTTCACATCGTACCAATTTCCAAATGCAGTTTAATTCTTTCTTTTTAAAAACCATGCTACACGTTCGCGCAACTGCGCGTGGATCGAGCGTGGAAGAAGCCGATGGTCAGCGAGCAGAAAGACACTCTGGGATCGGAAGTGAACGTCCTAGGGACCGGATACAAACATTAGGGGTTGGCGGGCGGTCCTCTCGTTGGGACTCAAGTTGCCGAGCAGCCGGACAACGCGTGGTCGCCGGACAAAGCTCTTCTAATTGTCCCCATCAACGACGAAGAATGGACCGCGGGTCTGCCGCTGACAATTTCATTTGTAATTTGCATAAGGCTTATTAAAATCACAATAGACGTGGACCCACAGGGATGCTCGATCGAGGTGGCCACAGGCTCCTTTTTCGGACTGCTCGATAGAGAATAATCACGGTCACCACTGCGCTGGTAATTGAACTTTAATAAGAAGCACGGCTCGTTTCTACTACTCGTATCGACTGCTCGTAGAAAAATAACTCACGGCGAATTAAATCGTGACAAACTTACGTTCCGAGCGGCTAGTCCAGAAGGTTCTCTTATCCATGATTATATCCAGGAACACTTAATACACTGTAACACTGAATATCACCTTTCCCGTAACGAATAACCAAAGAGGGGGGGAAAAAAACAAGAAAACGGGAAGAACGAATCTGTCGAACGCGACAGAGCGGAATTTTGTAAATAAAAGGAACGATCAACCGAAATTCGCGTGTGTCAGAAAAATGATTAAAAAATGACCGGTAGTGGAGGATGGAGTGAAAGAAAAAATGAATTTGCGGGTATTTTTCGCACGTCTTAGGACATCGGTTATTCCACGTTTCTAGAAATGTGTCGCGCACGTGAGACGGCGCGGGACTGAATCATCTCAAAACGCTATCATATCGCGCGCCGCCATATTCCCCCACCAACTTCTACCAAAATGCGTCTACGCATCTCTTATTCACACTGCTGATGTGAAAATCGTTCCGATACGAGTATGGACCAGCATTATAGGAAATGAGCATTTAATAATCCGATGAAAATACGTTATTCGTGGAAATACGAAGAGTGACGAAGGAAAGCAAGTACCACGATTGACATAGGAATAAAGAATTAATTTGTTTAATATCTTTCTATGCGAATATACTAGATATTTCTACGGAATAAGGTAGCAAAGTAATACAGAGTGGTTCCGTTTGAAATTAATGCCTAACCCTGGGGCAACTGTTTTCCAGAATGCAAATGCCCCGAGTCTTGTCACGTACGTATCCCACTTCGCAGATGCAACCACTCAAGCAACTTTTCGTCTGGATGCAAGGTACAGACTCCCAGATATCGATATTATCGCAATTCTTCTCGCAATTTGGATCTGCCTGGCATTGACTAAAAACTTCATTTTCCCCGCATGCGCTTTCCACGTTAACTATTTCGGGTTCTAAAAAAATGAAACGGAATAATGTGAATCTAATCTCTCTCTCTCTCTCGTTTCAGTCCGAAAGAAATTCGCAAGAGGATGAGTTAAAGTTAAGAAATTACTTACTAGACAGTATCGTTCCTGTTACCATGCCTGAATAGACAAGCAGAGAAATATTCAAGACGATTAAAACAAAATGCACTCGTGAAAGCTTCATTTTCGTCGAAGTAGCAAAGAAGAAATGCGAGTAACTATCGAGACTGCGAGAGTTTAAATACCCGGTTGGCAAATGTATATAACTCGAAGATAGCGAAATCAGTCCGCTAACAATAAGAGAACCAGTTTTAATCGCGTAAATAAGGCAACGTTCTTTGAATGAGGACTCTGTAAGTGGCGCATCGGGGAGATAAAAAATGAAACCAAGTGCTAACGAAGAGTCACGTATATACGCAGGCAAAAATTTGAATAGACTTTGAAATCACTAGCTTTCAGTTTTCGTGTTATGTATTTGCGGATTTTTGAATTGTACAGCAACTCGTTTACATACAACATATATAAGTGTCTTACTAGTAAATTACTTGTATGATACCTTAAAATAAGTATTTTTAATAAAGAGGGGGCCTGTGATAACGTGTTCCGAAATAAAGCAATTATGAAGAATAATCCAAGGATGCTCGACGTGAGGGAAAAACTATATTTCTTACTAAGAATGTCTCTTCTTCGCGCTGGCGATTCGCGATTCAAATTCACTTATCAGAATCGACGATATCCGTAAATGATTACAGCTTTTCTTCTCATCAAACGCACCAATTTGAAACGCGAAAGTGCAATATTTAAAAAGTTGCAAATTAACATGAGAAAACATCTTTAACCGGTGGAAAAAATTAATTTCTCGTTAAAACAGCGAAGAATGCGTTACCAATTTTCAACTATGACAATGAATGATGAAAAGCCACTCGCATATACCAAATATTGCGACCAAATACTTCCCTTCGAAAGTGCCTGTCACAGCAGAAGCTTCTCTTTTTCTCTTCCTTATTACAAACGGTAGTTCCATTACAGTGGGAAAAAAATACTACGATACGAGAATAAGTACTAAAGTCGAAACATGTGTAAAATTCCTTTTTTTTTTTTTTTTCACTTTTGCTAACAATCAAAGAAAAAAAAACGAGGGGGTCGATACAAGTTTATAGATGCTCGTTAATTTCGCGATACAAAACGTGTTACTGAATTAGCGAGAAACGCACGTTTAAATATATCATATTTACTGCATTTATATTGAAACTCGAGTAAAACTAATCGAACAGAAAGATCTCGATTGAAAGATCCCTTTTAGGTAGGTAATACTAGGTAATACGTGTTTCCTTGCAATACGCGTTCGTCGCCTGTTAAGTCGGATAAAATTAAAAGACTGAAAAGAAAAAGTACATTTCTCGCAATCGTCGTGACCAACTGTACGCCTTTTCTTACGATACATATCTATATATATATATATATCCCCTCTAGGTGTTGTTTGAAATATACCGAAAGCATTCGGTACAAGAATAGAGTAAGAAGTCTATTTCTCACGTGATCCGGTCGATGTTTTAGGTTGAAGAGAAGTAATTATATCACAGATGAAGGAGAAGAATCGAAGAAGCAGCAACGGCAACGGGATTTCTACCAAACCTTAGCAGCAAGGGTTCTCTGCATTAAAACATTCTTGCTTCGCTGCTTCATGCGCTCAATGAAGTACTCCTTGCCTTCCAGGTTATCGTCGACAGGTCCAACCTCCTCATTCTAGCAACAAACGAGAGTTAGTTGGCTCCTAGGTCGCGTGTTTCTTGCACGTGTGGCTCATCACCATCATCATCTCATCATCATCATTATCCTCATTATTTATTCCTCACATTATCATCATCCGGATTATCATGATCGTCATCACGAAGATAGGCTATTCTTTCGCAAAAGCCTATACAGAAGAGACCTAACCAACCTTGTTAGCTGTGTCGCCCCCCTCGCCCTCTCCCCACCTCTCGTAGTCATCGTCGTCCCTTTCTTCACCTTCGCTTAAAGGTCCATCTTGCCTTTTACTAGGAGGAACATTCGATCCTCCACCACCTTGCTGATGTTCCATTACGTCATCTCCACCTTCCAGCATCTTGTTAATCTTCTCCTTTGCTTCATCGACCTTTCTCATTGGGTCGGGAGAGTAACTACGATCGCTGTATCTATCGCGAGACGCGGCACGACGGTCTCTGAAGTCTCGCCTATCTCTAAAGTCGCGGAAGCCCTGCTTACCGTGGAAAAACCTACCACCACGGTTACCGCCACGTCCGCGTCCACCACCACGATTATTAAAACCACCTCCGCGTCTATTGCCAAAACGATTGTTGTGTTGATTATTATAGAATCTATTACGATTTTGGAAATTGTTACCACCACCACGATGGTTTGGATTATTGAAACCTTGGAATCGTGGCTTATAGTAGGTTCCGCGGTTATTGTATGGCCGGAACTGTCTCTTGCGATAGTAACTTCTATCCCCGGACCTACTGCGACTGCGACTCCTGGTATAAGATCGGGATCGTGATCTAGAACGCGATCTACTGTAAGTGCCTGATGGGGATCGACTATATTTTCGTTCGTAACTTCCAGATCTACGGTTCGAGTATGATCTGGAACGACTTCTTCTGGGTGAACGAGATCTCGAAGAGCCTGAACTGGAGGCACTGCGCGACCTGCTGCGCGAACGTTTCGCTGGACGGTCTCTACTCATTCTTTTCGTAACAGCTCCTCCCCTGCCACTCGACTCGCGTTTTTTCGGTGTTTGTCTCTGTTGTCTTTCTGTCTCGCTGTCAGAGTCTGTCCTAGGACCTTTAGCTTGATTCTGATTCTTTACCGGTGGTGGAGGACGCGGTGGTTCTGGTGGATGACCAGCACCACTGTTACCACTTTGTCCAATTGGCTGGAATTTACCACCAAGATTATTACTAGAACTGAACTTTGTCGGTGTTGTTTGCGGCGCAGATATAGAGGGGTCCTTGTATGACTGGAATTTATTCTGCGGTTGTGGCGTAGGATATTTTACCGGTGCCTGCTTAGGCATCGGAGGTTCTTTGGGTAATGGCGGTGGTGTTGGTGCTGACATCGGTTGAGCAGCTGCTGCTCTCTTCTCTGCAAGTTCACGTTGCATTTGCTTCCGTATATTCATAGATTTTTCCAATGCCGCACGCTGCAACTTTTCTTCCAGTTCATTATCATCATCCTCGTCACTGTCTACGTTAGATTGCATTTTTTTATTCTCAGTCGATACATCTTGCCACTTTTGCGGAAGAACATCCTTTTGTCTAAACAAATAAACGGATAACCAAATTTAGTACAGCGACATCGCGCGACATACTTTATAATACAGCTCTAATTTTAATAAACTTTCTTACCTAGCGGCTTGCGCGGCTTTCCATTTTGCGTTTAATGCAGCCGTATCGAGAGTAGGTAATTTCGGTTCGGGATGAATCAGTTGTGACTCTTGCTCAAATATGTCGGTCAGGGGTTTCCTCTGAATTTCTAAAGAAAAGATAGAATTAAACCAGTATAGATCGTATCCATCACATTCATCGTATAAATCTTTTTCCTCCAACAAACCTGATCCTTACCTTTACGTTGCTGCGCTGTCATTGGTACTCTAGCTTCCCGTTCGTGATACGCCTTTGAAGCCTCATCTCTTTCTCTTTCC